TGTTAATTGAAGCAGGGCATATTCATTTAATTACAGTATTTGAAATAATATCTGTTAATATTACCTTTGCAGTCCATTAAAAGCCTGCTAGGACAAACTGTAACAGTGAAAACTGTATTTTCTTTTACAGAAGATATAATAGTAGTTTAATTGATATTTTGTTATTAATCCAGCAACAAAAACGGTTAAGTATAAATACTTCCCATTAATTTATATCCATGACCCTGCATTATAAGAATGGAATATGTTTTTTTGGGGGGAAAAAGCTGAATTTCAAGAGGAACTGGAATTTATTCCTTGATTACTATCTGAATGAAAAGGTTCCCAGGTTCTATAAAAATGTATACCTTTTTTTCATCAATAGATATCAGTGACTGTTGGCACCAAAAGAAAAGCCTGACTTTAAAAATTATCCTGTGCTTTCTTTCTCCATGTCTAAGTAATATTTGAATTTGGGGGAGATTTTAAAGGATGGACAAGAAATGCTAATTCTAAAATGGTTCTCTTAATTGAGGCCATGAAAAAATCATAATTATGTTATTTAAACGGTGAGAGCAAATACGGTTTTACTATAGAAAATACAGAGATCACCCTGAAGAAGGAATGCAAGAATTATTAAAATAAATAACAACTTAGCACTGGGAAAGAAGAAGGGGCAAGAAAGAAAATCAAGATAGCCCTGCTTTGATTTTGTTTGGTATAAGAGGGGGTAGAGGGATACTCCAGCAGGATTTCAAGATTCTGTTATTATACCCTATAACAGCAAAGTACAATTCCAATAGTCTCTGTTTTGCCTGTTTTCTGACTTGACCTACCTTGAAGGACTGACATTTACCAAGGCTATTTGGAAGTAAGGTCCATAGCGGGGGAAAGCAACTTAGTCCTGAATAGACATACTTAGGATGACATTGAAATAATAATTTTATCTTAGTAGAGCAAAACAGAGTTTTGATAGATATCTGTCAGAAATGGGAAGGTATAATTAGGCAAATTTTAGAATAATTTAAAATAAATTTTAAATATTTCTGTGGTTTGTTCAAATTGAGTTAATGTGACTGAATGTGTCCCCACCTTACCCCATCACAGGCTGCATTTTAACCAAGGTTTGGGGCTTATTTTGTCATCCTGATCCAAATAGATACCATTGGGGATTTGTGCAAACTAGACCTTATAATTTACAACTGGTCAAGTTATTTCCATAAATCCAAGATGAAAGCCATTTCAGATTCAGATGTCATGCTAAAACTTAAATGTTGATTAAAAAGCAGTGCATGATGGGGAAACATTGGGATACATGTGCATGCAAGGTTTTTTTTTCTTACAAACATATCAACATCTCCTTCATCAGGAACATTATGAAAATAGAGGATGCAAATAGCTACCACTCTAGTTTAAAACACATTTCCCCCCTGTCTAAATTAGCAACCAGATCACCTCATTTTCATCTTGAATTTCCATTTATCCACCATGAACTCAAATCCTATGCTTCAGCTTAAGATAATGGAGGGACCCTGCTGCAATTAACCATGGATGGGCCCAGAAGCTGACAACATTGGTGCAAGGATCTTAAACTGCTGTTAGGCTTTGGGAAGACCTCTGCAGAACTGTTGGCACTGTTTGGTGAAGAAGAGAATGATTTTTAAATAATAATATTAACAAAGTTATTTATTGTACTTAACATTTTATCAGTAGATTACAAAATTACTATAAACACTAAAACAGAAAATGCAATAAATAAAATATCCATTATAAATAATATTTTCAAAATGTCCTCGTACAACCAACAGCTTGTGTCACTGGCAAAGAATCTGTATGATTATTTCAGACTAGCTAGAACAGAATGATAAATGCAGCAAATTAACAAACTGGCCAGATTTCTTTGAGAGGTTCCCATTCTCTGTAAATTAGCATCTGGCCAGTGGGAAAAACTGTGTGCATGCAGGATCTTAGTTTGCGTTAGCTCCTGCTTAATTAGAATAAAGTTGCTTAGAATAAAGACATTAACTGGAAAAAAAGAAAAGGTATAAAACTGCATTGCAGAGGTACAGTACATGGAAGAGAAAGTTAGTACTGTATAGCATAATTTCTCACTAACATCTCTGCTCCTGATCATGTATCCATAAGACTTCCAAGCATAGATACTAAGGCATTACCAAAGAGAAAAATTTACCTTAAGTATTCAAAAACTGTGCAGCCAAATTAAGACAAAGAAGGTGTCTTGAAAGGTGTTCACATTATAAATTACTGTGCTGTCTGAGGAGTAGCGAAAGTATGGCTGCAAACCTTTACAAATTCAGCCTTTTATAACCCATAGCTTTAAAGAAAGCCCTGATTATCTTCAGGAACTTCTGAAATATTAATCATTATGCCATATTTTCTTATGTTATAGTGCATTTCACGTATAGTGTTCTTGGAACGTTTACAGGCAATAAGCAGTTTGACTTCACATATGATCTCTATGACATGAGATTCTGATCTAATTACCTGTTAAAGAGGTTTAAACAGCACGTAACTATTTCTGTGCTATTGTCAGCCACATTGAAGTTGCTTTCCAATAAAGATGTACATGGATTTTCAGATAATATACCTGAAAAATGGTCAGAAAAAATGTGTGTATTAAGCAATAGTATCTTTGGGTTATGGTGACAAACTGACATGTACTTCATTTGATCTCTGTTTTCCATAAGGTCACTCAATTTAGTTAAACTGAAAATGAATGAATTGGTTTGCACTGGAGCTGGGTTGTGCACACATCCATCACAGGGACTTTGCGTAGCTATTTTCCTGATAACCTCACCTACATTTTTGAAACTATTCAGGCAGAATCCAGAAGTTAATCTTTGTGTGCAAACATGAGTGCTACTCACCAGAAGTATATAATGTTTCCCTTACACAACTGAAAAATATCTCAAAGGCAAGACCCATAACATATCAGGTAACATTACAATGAACTGTGGAACTGAGGACAACTGTTTAAGTTTTACTTATTTCTTTAAGCTTTTAAAAAGTTCAGGTTGTTTAAATGTTTTTTCTTCAACTCAAAGTATCTGCCAGATTGTTCAAAAGATTGGAAGGAGAAGTCTTTAGAATTGTATTGGGCACTAGGTAAGAGCACCAGTATGATCCATGAGCTCTTAGATGGCCTGAGTACAGGTGATGGAACAATAAAGTCTACTCCAGTGTTCTTTGAATAGGCCTTTGATACTGAAATTTGAGGTTTGTTAAACAAGTATGCTTTAAGTGTTTTGTTCAGATCTGCATGTGAAGAGCTGCCCTTTTAAAAGCCTGATCTTAGAGAATGAAAAATACCCATTTTTTTCCTGAAAAATACATTTATACTTAAAAGTATTACTTCCAAGCCACTCATTATTTCAGAAATTATTTTGAATCTAAAGAAGCACCAGTGGAAACAGAGAGGTGGGTTTTTGTTTTTGTTTTAAGAGGCCTCTGAAGAAACCTCTTCCAAGTATTAAGAAAATCTCCTGTATGATATGCTCAAAGAGAGCTGTGCGGAAAGGGAAAATGCCAAATTGGATAGAATTACCTTTTGTAAGAAAGAGCTTCAGCTTATAAGTTTCCTTCCCTGATTTTTGATACTTGTCTTGCCTTCCATTTCCCACAAGACTTCTTTCCATTCAAGGAAGATCTTCTGATTCCTAGAAAAGGCTCCTTAGAGGATCTAGACCCTTTTACAAATTGAGGCTGCGCTGATCTCCACTGTGTTGCCATAATGATGTGGGACATGTGTAGGGCTTGGGAAGCAGCACCAAATAACTATCCCAGTTTTGTAGCATTTCTTCTGGAAGAGTGGTTTCCCCACTAGTAAGAACTTTTACCTAGCTCTGACTTCCAAAATCGTCTCCCTGCCTCTTGCAGCTAAGGCTCTGTAGCATCTTGCCACCATTCTCTCCAGCTTCTGAGGGATGACTTAACTGCTTCCTCCATACAGCAGCTTTTTGAAGACAGTGTTTTATTAAAAGTAATAAGGGGAAAAATGTCCCCCCGCCTTTTTAAATTAGAAGTGTAAATCTTTTCAGTGATATTTAGCATATTCCAGGATTGTCATAATAATGTTCTTCTAACAGACAAACACAACATGTCAGATTAAAATGCTATCATTTGTGATAAGTAAAGCTATAGTACCTGCAACACAAGCTGTCATGAAGCAGGCCACGGTGCCAGCAATCATGGCCCTGAAAGCTCCCCCTGCAATGTCTCTCTTCCTGGAGGGAGCCAATGATGCTGGAGACATAAATGGAAGAAAAGAAACAAGTGAGCAACATGCAACGTTGAAACATCTATTTAGTGCTTTTCTAATATTTTGTAATCTCTGGAGCAGTTTCAGTAAAGATTCTTGCTACCTGGGATAGATATGGTTAGATAACCACACATAATATTGGTAATATCTTTTGTGGAGTCCTTGGGGTTCTCTAAGCCTGGTTCTTTTCTTGCAAATGTTTCATTACCCGGCTAGGTAACATCTTCAGTGCTAACCCCAACCCTAACCCTAATATCTTTTAAAGTAAATGTTCACTTGATAAAATCATGCAAAGCTTACATCGCTTTTCTGTCCCTGAATGTTCATTACGCTAAGGGTTTTCTTGCCCTTAACTCCCACCTCCAAATTAATAGTATAATTAGTCCACTTAACAAGTTCACAAAAATATTATATATCAACATAATAGAAAGTACATTTCTTTCCACATTCCTATAGCCTGTTCAGGGTCTGAACAATTGCCTTCCATTCATCTCCGTTAAAAGTGATATGGTGTTCTTTTTTTCCTAACAAGCTACTGTTGATATTAAGTTTTTGATGAATCAATATAGAATTTCTGTTTTCTGGGGTTTCTTAACACTTTCCATTGTTAGTTCCCTGGTATGTAACAAACTAGTATGAATCTCTACTATTTTGTTTGAGGGCATCATTCTGAATGTCCCAAGGCACTTCCAGGTAACCAGCGTTCCTATCCAGAAATCCTTCCAATTTCAATCTCTAGTCAGCTTGGCTTTATTCTGAGCTCTTCTGAATATTTTGAATTATTTTGACAAATCACAATATTATAAGGATGGAGTGTGTTTATCAGACTCCTTTTCAAACCTTCAAGCTGGTACCCTGGGTTAGCAAACAACAGGCAGGATGAGCCAATTTCCTCTCCAATATTTCCCCATGCCCCCTATGCAAAACAACATTTCCCCATTTGCAGAAAAACTAGCATTTATTCAGCACTCAGTTGTGATGACAGTCATAAGATTGTGACCAGATTGTGGGACTCAATTGGAGTAAGCATCATCTTGATGGGTCTGTTTGGAAGAGTGGAAGTATATTTCAGTGTTTGCTATGATCAATAGGCCTACCATTGCCACTTAGTTGTCAGACAACATCTTGCCAGACTCTTGGATTTAACAATTATACAGTTCTGAATTATTTGTGTAATATTCAGCAGTTTTGTGCTAATTGGAACTATCTTTGAATGTTCTTTTTCACACGATTGTAAACATATGGAAAGGAAGAATAGGGCCATCTCTACAACTGTGTCACACATCCTCTATAAATCTACCATCCATAATTTGGAAGAATATAAAATGAAACTTCACGTGGAAGGAACATTGAAAAAGGCAATGGAATAAAGACTCTTGAACATCCTGAACTATCAGAAAGTGAAGATGCAAAACACACTCTTGCTCCTGAGTACAGATAAGAATGAGGTAATGAAGATCTGCATAGGCAAAGCAAACAACAGCAGCTACAGTTTTGAGAGAATACTCAAAAAGCTTTGAATTCTCTTGGAGGATCTGATGTGGGGCAGCAGATTTGCTGTTGAAATTTCAAACATCCCATCCTTACTTACTTACGTAAAAAAAAAAATCAAATATTATAAAGTACAGTATTCCAAAGAGTACTAAATCTAGGGAAGCATGGACACTGGGAAAGTAAGGCATAGAGCTCTTGTTTTGCAGATCTGAAGTGCTTTAGATGCTGAATTTACAAGATACCAGTTGACACCAACAGAGGCTGAAACCACAAGGCTAAGGCTAATTTATTTTTTAAAGGTTGAGGTACATTTTAGTAAGAGATCCCCAGCCTTATAACTCGTGGCTGACTCTGATATTAGATCAACCAATCCCCTTGAAACATAATTATATTAAATGTTAATTCTGGAATCATTTACTTCTGCTAGGTGCCATATAAGAATATTATATGAATATTATCCATATTGAAACTGTCTCAATGTTTATTTTAATTTTCATCTGAAATGGAAACAATTGTATGTGAACAGGGGAAACATGCTTAATTCTGGAGCAAATCTTCCAGCTTTGGACCAATCCAGTGATAGGAGAGATTCACCCAAGGCTACATGAAGCACTAGGAGCAGGTTGATAAGTTTATGTGCAGTGAAATTTTGGATGGCTCTGTTATCTAGGCAAAATTGGCAGTGTATCAACAGCTCTCCTCATTTAGGAGAAGGAAGGAAAATTCCAACAATAGATGAGTTACAGAATTTTTGGAATGCTTCTTCAATGACGAAAAAGTCAAAGAGTAATTCCCACCACTCTACCATCTTCACAGGTAGAGGATGAGCAATTACTCATCACAGTAAAAGTCTTTGTTTAAATATATATATATATCAGTCTTTCACATTGTTCCATATAAGAAGTATACATGATTCTTACATAGTGCTCCAAGTATCATGCCCACCGAACCAAAATTTGCAAATCCACAAAGGGCATAAGTGGCAATTGTTTCTGATCGGATCTAAAATAAAGCAAATAAAACATAGTCACATCAATTACTTTCTCTTTGAAAAAGAAAAATAGTTTTTAGTTTCTGGCTAATGGTGTTTGAACATACAATAAAGATAAAATGTATGTATTGGTTTTGGAATGAGAATAAATTCAGACTTTCTCGATGTTCTCCTGCTACAAAGAATTACATATGAAAAGAAACTGGAAATAGAATATCTTCATACTTTTTATAAATTTACCAGATAAAATATCTGGTTCACATGACCAGATTCCATTTTTATATGTAAATGGCACTGAAATAGAAAACTTAAACTTCCAGCCAAAAAATCAAAATTCACTTTACTTTTTGTGTAGCCTTGTTGATGGCTTCTTGATGGTGGCTAGAATTTGTCAAAACGTAGCTAATTTCAACACTGATATGTCTGAATCCATTAGCAGACACATGTAAGGCTTAATTGCCAAGGGCTATTTCAGATGTGCCAGCTACTTTGCATCAAAAACCCTTCTGGATAGAAAATGGAACATGCACATAGTTTGTCAATTCTGATCATGCACAGACATTTGAACTTTGTGTATAAACCTGGCACTCTGCCTATGGATTTCAAAAGAATGGGTAGGCCTTGCTGATATATCTGATATCTTTAAAAAAATATATTTAAGAAATTAAATGGTCTGAGAGAAACACTGCTTCCCATAGTAAATACATCTGCATTATCCTGTGGATTTCTAGGTAAACAAGTTTTGCAAGTTTTTCAAACAATAAGGTGCAAAATGTTTTCCTGAATGCTTTCTCCAGTTAAACTACACAACTATTATGACTATGGCTAAATTGTTCACTAGTGAACAAAATGCCTAATGGGCTAGAACCTAGATTAATTAGGGCAGGACTCTTACCCAGATGGATTAAAAACTTACCAGTTGCATTTCCACAATGTACTTAACTCTGATTAGTATTAGCCTTGGTTAGTTTTTTTTGAGACTTAGTATGTTGTGTGATCACAGGCCATTTACTAAGTATTTGATTCAACATATGTATGAATCCAGAAAATGGGTTAACACAATAGCCAGGTTATTTGTGTAAACATAGCAAATATTACAGTTGCATTATTTTTCATTTTCAAAACTTCATGCAGCTTTTGTGATCTGGATTTTACAATGCTAGTAGCAAAATCTGCCTTTCCCCCAATGAATTCATCTAATAGTGTCATCTTAATTCAAGGACAGCAAATCTATGAGCAAAGTGAGAATTCTCCCTGCTTTTTCCTGCTGTCCTCAATGCTTCAGCTGATTATGAGGTAGTAGAATTACAGTCTTTAATATAATTTGGTTCCTTTCAGACCTCCACCAATATCTCAGAAAGTTTCAAGCTGACCCATGGCCTGCACTTCCACTGATCTTAAAATGCAGAGATGTCATTCATGGCAGTTAGTGCACCCTCCCAACTGACTATAATAGGATGCAAAAACTGATATTCAGCTAGTGCTTGGTTCGGGTATTATTCACAATGAATTGGGGTAGCTGAAAATACACTCTGCTCTATGTATTAAAGCAACAGAGAAATTACAACATGAAACTACAAGGACCTGTGGGGGATAGGAGGGCCCAGGATCTGATAGGAAAGGTAAAACTAAGGATCTTACCAATGGGAAAATTGCCTACTCCTAAGTCTGCAGAGCTCCAGTGCTTCTACTAGAAAACTGGTTTCAATGTGTCTTTTCTTGAACTTTAGCTACAATGGAAATAAATTAGCTTAGCTGATGAACTGATGATGTGAGAGTGTATGGGCTGAGGTAGGAGTAGCACAAACTCCTGACTATATTTGCAGCTTTGCAGCAGTTTCTGAAAAAAATCCTTCAACAACCCACCCCCCCGACCACTGATTTATAACACACTATATATTATCAGGCAAGTACATTTGCAACTTGGGTTTCATGTTGCATCTCAGTAAAATTTCCCAATCATTAAAAAAAAAACACCCTTTCTCCTATTTTAGTTTTAATTCCAAAGACCTTTTTTTCCCTATCTTTGAGTTAGGAAAGGTCACTGAGGATATGTCCTTGGTCTCCTGCTTTTGCACAAAACAGGTCCAAGAACTTGAAGTCACAAAGTTTTACTATACCTGTTGAAGATGTCTCATGTAAATCCCCAGAAGAAACTATTCTGATGCTATCAAATCAAATATGAAAGTATCCTCTTCCTTGTCAAAGGTCCTTTTAAAAAATTAGGACTAAGACAATGCTGTTTATCTTATTCCTTGTTTAAAATGGTTCTCAAAAAGAACATTAGGTTACATCTAATGTTGTGTCTGTAGTAGATGTCTGATAAGTCAGACTTCTCTTTCTCTTTGCATTCCACCTTGCTTCAATGCTAGTCACACAGAGGGAACTATTCCCCCAGTTGTTTATTTGCTTGACTGACAGGTATTATTAAATACACCAAGATGTAATGCAGATTATGAGCCATAAGAAAATGGTATTATAAAAATATTTACATTAATTGTGGCTTCCCATCTGTAGTAACACATACCTAACATAGTAACTTTAATTCAGACATATATTCTAGGAAAGCCCACTAGGTAAAATCTATGAAGTATTAGGTCTAATGAAACAGAGTTGTACAGGAATACTCACGCTCAAGTACTGTTTCACACCATTTATGTACATTTTTCCTCCCTTCTTTCTTAGTTGAATCAAGACTGCAAGATGTTCATAAGCCACAAATTCATTGAAGAAAGTCTTATAACCAAGGAGCCCACCAACAATAAAACTGTCTTCCCAGTCTACCCCCATCATAAAAGAAAATGGCATAAACAGATATGAACAGATTATCTATAGGAGATAAAACAAGAACAAAGAGAAATATGAGCTATAAACCTTGTTGAGCGCATATTGGCTTATTGATCACACAGCAGGTTCTTAAAGCAGTGTAGAAGAGATAAATACAGTATGTCTAAAAATGTCTTGTTATCAGCTAAAGATTTGCATAAAAACAAAGGAAAACCTTTATCTAGCAATGTAGTCTCAAGGCTAAGTAGTCCATTCATTACGGTTGTTACATTTTCAGTCAAGAAAGAGAAAAAAAATATAACCAAAATAAAAAGCATTCCCACCCTTTAAATGGCCCTAGGAATTGGTTTAGACCCAAGAATAACATAAAGCTGAAGCAGCAAGGAAACTGAATACTACTTTCAGAGGATAGATGATTGAGTCTGCAAAATTACACATTGAGTGGAGAGAATGAATAGCATGAAATTATTATGTCATGAGTACTACATGCAGGATGATCAAATGAAATTGATTGCCAGAGAGCCAAACTAGATATTCTGTGGAAATCTACATCTTGAATCCCAGCTGTTTCACCAGAAATAGTGAAAGAGGTCCTAATTTAGAGAAAAAAAGAAGCATGGGGGGGGGGGAAACACTTAACCCTTTCTTACCAATAATTTAATCCTTCCTATTCCTATTGTATAGCGCTTTCTTTCTCAATCAAGACAATTGAGGAAAAAACACCAGATAAGACAAGTGTTAATGGTAGATGCAGCTCTTAAAGCATCCACTCTTAAACTTTTTGCCTATTGATAGGATGGCATCAGACTAAGATACCAAGAAAGGACTCCTTCTTTATTCCTCTTTTTGCTTCTGTTCTGTGTTCTCCTGGGTGGAAGACTCTTAGTGGCAGGTGGGAGAATGGATAAAATTTCTAATTTCCAATCCTGTCTCTGTTCCAAATTGTACCTTCTCCTATCACTTCTTAACTGTTCTACCAAACACTACATTTCTAGATGCACATTTCATTTTGGCTAGACAGGTCAAGTTAATGAAACACTACATCTTAAATTACAAAATTCATTTACATGATTCAGATTAATTAACATAAAGTTTTATGATGGCTGATATTGAGCTGCTGTTTCTGAAGTTCAGGCTAAATGCTCATTATCTTGTAAATACACATATGAAAAACTCACACACAAAACACACAAAGGTTCCCCAAGTCTTCAATGCTTTTGCCTTGAAAATGGTACATATACAGGTAGTCCTAAACTTATGACCATTTGTTTAGTGATGGTTTGAAGTTATGATGGCGCTGAAAAAAGTGACTTACAACCAGTCCTTGCACTTACGATTGTTGCAGCATCCCCATGGTCACATGATCATAATTTGGGAGCTTGGCAACCGGCATGTATTTGACCGGCATGTATTGCAGCAACCTGGGGTCATGTGATCATCATTTGCGACCTTCCCAGGGGGCTTCCAACAAGCAAAGTCAATGGGGGAAACTGGATTCACTTAACAACCACATGATTCACTTAATGACCATGGCAAAAATGGTCATAAAATTGGTCATGACTCATTTAATGACCACATGACTTAGCAATGGAAAGTCTGGTCCCAATTGTGGTTGTAAGTATAGGACTACCTGTACCCTTTAAAGGAAAGCAGTTAAGGGCCTACAATTGTTTTTAATTTTGGGAGGAGGGTGTCTGAAAGCTACAAGGGGCATAGTGATATGATAACATTACTAAAGGTAGCAGGATTGGAATTTTTGCCTTATTTCCTCATTTAAAAAATCAACAGGACAATTAACCCTTTTACATACACCTGTTCCATTAACATTAATTAAAATATATGCTGCTGCTATTTGAGTGTCTGTCATTGAATTTTGGTAATATAATATAAGAAGACTGTTCTATCTGGTAAAAAGGGGCTCTGGGGCCATATATAGCCAACAAGTGTGGGTTCGCCCACAATTCCCAAGTTTTATTTCTTAATTATTCTTCTCCTTCCATCTTACAATATTTTGTTCCAATTTTCTTTTTATTTGGAAATATATATAAAGTTAACTTTTAGGTTAATAGAAAATAAATTTACTTCCAAAATTTATTTATTCCCATATTGACCTGCATCACATGGGAAGCATTTTGTTCACATAATAGACCTTCTCTTCCCTCGGCCTTCTCTCTTGATACCTCAAAATTTGCTTCAGAAGATTATCTGAGGGGATTATCTTCTCTCAGTTTGGCTGACAGGAAATACCCACTGAATTCACCCACAATCTTTTACTCAAAGGTGAAATGATTTTATATTTCTGAGCCACTGGAAAAATTTAATGTGGATGTCGATCTTTTACTCAAAGGTGAAATGATTTTATATTTCTGAGCCACTGGAAAAATTTAATGTGGATGTCGATCTTTTACTCAAAGGTGAAATGATTTTATATTTCTGAGCCACTGGAAAAATTTAATGTGGATGTTAAATAAGCATTAAACACTTATGCAGAATAATAAGGGCTTTAATGTGGTTGGGAGGGGAGATTAGGGTTCAATTCTCTTTCTACCCTACCTAGAGTCTGTGGATTGGGATGGAACATAATTTTGAAAATAAATAAGCAAAGTGAGGAAGAAAGGCAAGAAGGATCCATGTTTTTACTAATTAGGATCTCTGCATGTCAGGCAGTTGGGGCCACTCTAAACTAGTTGAATACTGTGCTCAAAATGGAGCCTTTATGTTCCATTAGAAAGCAGAAAAAAATTCTCTTGGGAAACTATCCAGACCAGCTGTATCCCTATTGTTTACTGCATTAATAAGCTCCTCACTGAGTGCTTTTATAAATGGTCCCTTGTAGCCAGAGAGATGAAGCATCATTAGATTGTTAAGCAATCCATTACTCTTTTTCTTAACGCATCAGGACTGCTGCTGCTTCTAAGGTAAGTATCTGCACACAGCTTGCCCTATTTTTCTTCTATGCTTAAAGTGATATTCGTTTTGCTCTCAACGGGAATAGAACCACTTCTTTTCTTTTTTGCCATTTTAAATGTTGTTTTCCCATCAATTTATTATTTCCACAGTACTGTATGTTACATTAAATGGAAGCATTTTAATGCAGAAGGTTCTGCATTCATGCATGCCCAAATAATAGGTGAATAATTGGCTGAACTTGTAATCAATTAATTCTGCCCTTTTCCTTCATTTGATCATTTCCCCTTCTATTCATTTATAGTTGCATTTTAGACCCATCTGCTCATGGTACAGAGTTAAATTCAGTACAGTCATCCAGTTCTTTCCATGTGATGCTTCCTTGCTCATTGTGAATATGTTAACTGATTGTCTAAATTAATCAGCAGTTTTTATCAAAGTGGGAACCTTTTTTCCAGGCTTATTCAATAGGAGTAGACGTGATTTTCATGGTTTTCGAGTGGCTACATGGGGATCATAGGTGGAGTCAGGATTTTATTTCATGTATGTGTAAGTTTAATTAAAATTATGTTTAATATAATTCTATTCTAGGCATGTATTTAATATTTGTATCTTTCTGTCACTTAAAAAGTCAAGTTTGGTAGCAACTTTAATCATATGATTCCATAAACTTAATCATAATTAGATTATTCTATAAACTTAATTATATCAAATTATTTTATAACCTTCTAGAGGTTTCTGGGTAGTGGCTTTGAAGCCTCAGGTTGTGCACCCAGTTTTCATACAGTGATCTGGGGATATAAACCAGAGAACAATACTATATAAGTAGACTCTTTATCAGTAAACTGCAAGATATAGAATTTGTGTGACTTAATTGTCATGACCAGCTAGGTACATGGATATGGAAGCAGAATTTGTTTAAGATGTCTGTGCATGTGTGTGTGTATGTGTATGTATGTATACACACACACATAAAATTGTGCCTTATCCAGGTCCCATGCATTATTTGGATCTCAGCAGTACAAATTTAAAATATAAGATGCCTTATAAGCACATTTCATGATTCTATCTCATTAAAGCTTTCTGACATGCAATTAGTGCATGAAGTAGTCATTTACTCCCTTGTATATTGGGCACATACTCCTTACCAGTAGCTTGTATTATCACTGAACGTGTTAATCATTGTACCTGATTTTTATGGTGCTTTATCTATCCCTCCAGCTGCCCCTGCTTCCTACTTCTACATAAGGAAGTCCAGAATTAGTCACACAGGAGAACACAAATCTTTCTACCTCTCATACAGAAGGCCCCATTTTAATATCACAGCAAACTAGAATTTTTTTATGGACTCTCTGTTACAGAAAAGTGCATGGTCTATCACTTCAGTATTCAGAAGAGTGCCTTTTCTCTTATTACATTGCTTCCAATAATTTTTAGAAGACAATAGGTACACCAATACAGGGAAACACACATATCTTAAGGCATAGCCTACAATTTCAGATATTCTTTTCATAGTAGACTGAAGTGAAGTCTAGGCTGCATCTCCCACACACCTCGCTTGGGATCTGGCCTGAGCTAACAGCTGATCAGACAATACCTCAAAGCTTAGTTGTGGGTAGTCAAACATGTTCCCCAGCCAAGACAGGACTGCATTAAAGAAGGCCAACAAGGCAAGGAAGGCTATCAGATTCACAGCAATGTTTGCTACCAGGGGGATGGCGGCACTAGCACCTTGGCTGGCAGCTTCCAACAGGTTCCTGGCTTCTCTTCACCAACAAAAGAAAAAGAAAAGGTGCCCATTAATGTGAAATTTGTATGGTAAGTACAAATCTATACAACCAAACAAAACAAAAATAACTTTTCCCCTACAATGACAGAATTCATCCTTTTTAAAATATTGGGAGGGCAGGGCCAGCAACCAGAATAATATTAGAAGTAATATTTAGTATTGTTAATAATATTTGACATTTATATAACCTTTTATGAATGTAAAAAGCTCTTATGATATGAGGGCTTTAAACACGAATACACATATTTATCATCAGTTGGCCCTACAGTTAGAGGAACAGAATAAGACAGCTACCTCAAGCTATTAATTAATTTAATGTTAATTAATCATTGATTATCATTATTAGATGTTGATGAATTATTTGATCATACTTTTATTGCCTAAAAGGAGAAGTAATGCTAGGCAGCTTGAGTATTATACTGATTGTGAGTTAGGAGGTGATCATCTTTGTACTTGTGAGTTTATGGCTATGTGAGATCTGAAATGGCCAGTTCTAATATTCCTCATTTAAGTTCTCAGGTCACAAGACTTATGAGCTTTAATTTTTTCTAACTGATGCTTTGTGTTTTCAATTAGCTATGTGTTGTTGTTGTTCAGTCGTTAAGTTGTGTCCAACTCTTCGTGACCCCATGAACCATATTACACCAGGCCTTCCTGGGCAGAAATTTCAGTTGATATTTGAACTTCTGTCAGAGGTGGCAGGATCTCACTGGCATGGAATGAATAATGGCAAACTGTCCTAGGTAACTGGGAAAACTCTGATATAAACAAACCAACTGAGTGACCAATCTCTCATAAATAATTTCAGAATGCTGAAGCTCCAGTTTACAGGCCAGATCTCACTCGTGGGTCTTTGAGCAACATTCAGTTTATTTCTCAAGACTCTCCCTCAGAGCCTCTCCGAGTTTACTGGCTGTCCCATTATATTTGCTCATGCCTCTTCCTTTTCCCTTGATGGTGTTCCTGCTGGCATCTACAAGTTCATTTCCATTTTGCCAGTGCCCCTTCTATCTCCACAGTGGGGGAAAAAACAAGGAATGACAAAGCTGGCAGGATTATTGGAAGACACCTTATGTCTTCCATGGGTAGACAAGATGAAGGGAAGCTCCTGCCATCTCATCCACAGAATATTTCACATGCACAAAATACTTTTCCTTATACAGGAGAATATGGGGAGCAATGGACATCAGTAGGGCAGGGAATCATCTACAACCAGCTCCTGGACTTGATTCAGTTCCCCATTGGTGTATTCTATGCCTTTAAATTAAGGCTGGCAGTCTGAAGCCCCAGAGTCACATGTAGCCACCAAACTCCATTTTTTGTGGCTCCCAGGGCTACCTCTGACCAAAATTTCTATCAGTTCATGGCAGAGTATCTTGCCATGCTGTAGGAAATACTCAAAATGTGTAGTTTAAGCTCTAAAATAAATTTAACATAGTTTTTAAAAAGCCCTCAACTCCCCCAACACCCCCCCACACACAAAAACCACCTAAAAATCCTAAGTCCATCCAATTATGCCTCCTGGACTTCCAATAACATTTAATTGCTGTCCCTGGACTTTCAAAGGTTGCCCAATCCTGCTTAAAATTGCCCAAGTGGCTGGATACAGGTGATAGTAGGGAGAAATGGATGAGTAGTCAATTTGGGAAGAGTACATGAAATGTTCTGTTCATGACAGATGACTTTGCTCAGATCAACTAGAAGTGAATTTGTATAGTTCCCCAGGTATGTTTTCTCTAGTTTCAGTTAACTGAATTGGCCATAACTGAGCATCTATCTCTATGGTTTTTCCAAATGTTAGTAAGTCTGGTTGCCATGAAAATATAAATTGCTTACCCCCTTTCCATTTTTGTATCCTGTTGTGCACTTATCTGGGGATTCTCAGTCTCAGGCCAAAAGAGTTTGGCAACAGCTAAAGCTGCTGGTGCTGACATCACGGAAGCAGTTAATAAATGAGAAGCTGAAACCTGACAGATGAAACAAACTTTTTTTTACATTAGTGTTTCTCAACCTCAGCAACTTTAAGATGTGTGGACTTCAACTCCCAGAGTTCCCCAGCCAGCATGCTTTAGGGATAAGTTGCTGACACATGTTGTCTTACAAGCTGTAATAAAATATATTGAAAAATATGAATGCATCTCTTCTTGTAGTCACTTATCTCTGTATAGCTCCATGTGAAAAATGGAGGCCAATAGTATTTTAAGGAGCAGAGTTTTGTAAGAGAAAGGGGAATCTTAAATAGAGAAAGAAGTCTAGAAAAGTTCTGGTAATCATGAACACCAACAGCAAATTTAATGGCCACAGTGTCAACTCTCAGCAGCAAAAATACATCAGCCAGACTGAAGAGGGAGGTATCATTAGGCTCAAGGAAGCTTCAAGGTTTGAGAAAATACTACATATATATACATACATATACATATATATACATGCATATGCATATACATATACATATAAATATATATAAAATGAAAAATTCCTAAAGGGGCGAAATAGCCCAATGTAAATTAATCATGTTTAATGGCACAGACTCCTGAATACATGCAACATAAAATAATCATTAAGAATTACTGTGCTTCCATTCTTACCCCAAAGGAAATATATGCTCCTAAAACACTTCCAGCAATGGTGGCAAATCCTGCTGTCATGATAGCATGGAGTTCAGACTTGGTAACATAGGGCAGATAAGGCCTTACCATGAGAGGAGACTCCGACTACAAGGAAAAGAAATCAAGTAAGTGCATTCCAATTATATCTTTCTCTTATTTTTTAGATGTTCTGTCAAGCCCCATACCACAGGTTATGATCCAGGAAGCAAGAATCACATGGACTACAGCGAGGAGTTTTAATGCAAAGAATTAGGGGCAAAGATCAGAATCTTGGAAGCTTAATAGAAACCTCCAGCCCTCATTTATTGGTGAGTTCATTAAGGGAGAGTCTTTTTGAACATTTTGAATCTCTTCTTCCTTGGCTTTTTGCAGCTTGTACTAGGGCTACTCTACAGGTACAAACGGTCAAAAAGTAGAATTGTACAGGTTTCTGTTTTAGGAGGAAAACTTGTCAGAGACCATGGGCTTATTTTGAACACTGTTCCATGGATTTTTGGGGCCCTTTCTCATACAATTTAATGCAAATCCAGAACTGAAAGTCATGAGCCTGCAATGTTCTTGTGTCTCAGGCAGCATCTTTGCTCTATGAGGAATCAGTAACCATATTAGTTTGCTTCCAGAGTTGTAAGGACTGGACCCATACAAGACCAAACAAGAAAAGGAAAAAAGAATGAGGTGGTTATTAAAACTTACTCCCCATGTTAGAATGTCTAGCAAAATTGTTGACCTACTATTAGAAAAACTTGATCCTTCCTTCATGCCTGAACTCTAAATATTTGTATTGCTTTGTTTCTTGGGAGATGGATACTGCTTTGTGCAATGGCATTTGGAACAGATGATTTCCATGGCTGTTAATACCTACCAGCAAAATCTAACAAAAATATTACAGCACCTTATTAAAAAAATTTAAAAGTACATTTTCTTGTCTTGCTAGATGCACTATTTTCTGTTGAAACAATTTGTCCTTAAGCTGTTAGCTTATTTCTCTGTTTCCCAGACTTACCATTCCCACAAATATATTGCCAGCTGCAACTAAAGATTCTACTGGACTTGTCTGTAAGGTAATTTGCATGATCCATCCAACCTACAAAAGTTACAATGCATAAAATTAGGTTTTTGGCCACTTTCAAGCTGCTGCATGTACATAGAATACAACAAACAACCAAGTTAAGAGATGTGTAAATCCTTAAGGAATTCTTCTATATCAGCAATCTTCTTAAGGAGGCTTTTTGGGGACATACCAAATATATGCCAATTTATTCCAATACAAGAATCCTTTGCTGAGTCAGATCTGCCTGGGGAAGTGTAGAATTATTGCCAGGGACATCCATGTGTATCTTGATTTAGACAAAATGATATAAACTGGAACATAAGCTGCCTTCAGCTTTTATAACAGATCTATGAATAAATCAGTTTAATCTGATATATTGGCACAGGCTACATAAAGTATATATTACAGAATTTGCATAAGACTGACAGGGCTTGGATAGTGTGAATTGTACAGCTCATGAATATATAACTGTACAATACTTTGCAAGAATTACAGGAACCTGTACCTTCCAATCTCTCCAGAAACATTAACAGACCAGGAATTTGACCACAGCTCCATCACAGAATTAAGTTAATCTAATTCTATCATACCTGACTTTTTTCCTTCCAACTTGTACAAAAATGTAATGTACAAAACGAAGGCATGCAACTTTTAGTAATAATAATCTTCCTATATTTGTTGAACAGTTTAAATAGCTTTTTGTCATTACAGACTGAATGTTAAACAATTGAGATTGAAAGAATTTCAGAGAAGAGAAGGCAAAGAAATAGTAGATGAGAAAAACTTTCAGTGTGGAAGTAAAATCAGAGCATTTGGACTATCTAGTAGTTTTTTTATTTGGATTATCATAAAATATAGCCCTAAGGCAGTGCTTGAAAACAGAATCAGCTCAAAGTTGAATTGTTTTCAATGGCCACCAGTGGCTTGATGTTATCAAGGTTAGATTTGAGAGATGGGAAATCCCTTCTTCTCCCCAAATTCCTTCTTTTACAGCCTTCCAGCAATCTTTCTTCCAGTGAGAAGAGGGACAGAGTACATGGGAAGGATATAATTATTTCTAGTTCCCTTTCCTTCCATGAGAATAATTGATCTTCAGAGGCCTTGTGGATCACTTCCAGCCCATAGGTTGGAAGTTCATAATGCAAGACTAAGGCCATAACAAGAGGAGATCCTAGTACTGGTCCTAGAAACTGATAAAGAGATGGTGATATCCTAAGAAGATATGTATTTATTCATAATGTATCTGGTCCATACCCTCTTATCTTACATATCTTATTCTTGTTTTATTGCAGTTTGAAGTTCTGATCAACTTTTATTCTGGCAGAGGGAAGGAAGAAATTACACTCTAGAAGAGACAGTGTAGTGATATACTTTGTTTATATATTCAGAACTTCCCTAAAATGTTCTTCAGATAAATGTCTTTCAAAACGGCTAACATATTTTTAAAATATATATTTAAAAAAAATAGTTTTCACACGTTCTTGAAATATGCTTAGATCAGCTATATTTCCCAGGTAAAGTTTGGAGAGGCAGTAGTTTACTCTTTAGAGTTGCTGAGATAGGAGATCTAACCCAAAAAAGTAAATGGAATTTTACTAATTGCCGGACTTCATAGGCATGGCAATAAATCTACTCTCCCCAAACTAAATCCTACATTCAGTGACTACTTAATGAAAGAAGCTTCATAGACCTGACATGTGAAATAAGTTGCTTTACTACAGGCAAGGAGTTCATACATATACTGCAGACCTGTTTACTACAGAATACAAATTAAACCCATTTATTTTATATAACATTCTCTTTCTCTCTCTCTCACACACACACACACATACATAAAATCTGTGAACCTCAGGATTTAAATCCTAAGCCTTTCCTCCCACCTTTCTGAATCAATGGACTTTTGGCCACTCTTTCTTAGCCAATTGGGAGGTCCCTGCTCGGTGTTTACACAATGGTTCTGTTTGGTCTGAGGACCTCTGCTCCCAGCCTTGTCAGCTTCATTCCTTATAGCCACTTAAACTCAGTATACTGGGAGTTATGACCTCAGGACATTTAGAATGTTCCAGGTTAGAGAAAGCTAGTTTATGATAGTTTATGAGATGCATTAGATTTAGGAGAGGAAAATGATATATACTTTTTTAAAAAGAAAAATAAATTTTAAAATAATAGTCTGTTCCATATATATGCTTTTATAATTAACTTCTGTGATGCTTCCCAAAGTACCAAGGGCATTGTTACCTTTTTAATAAGCCACTGCATGAATCCAACATGGTATAGCACAGACATCACTGTACTGAAGAAAATGACAATAGGCAGCACCTAATTTGGAGACAAAATTTATCTTGTTAAGAGGTTTTTCCAAGTTCTTCCAAATTATCTGAAGGCTTTCCTACATTGTAGACTTCAAACAGATCAACCCCGTAACATCAATCTTGTTATCAAAGATTCACAGTTTGTCAGTGTCATAAGCCAATAAAAATTAAAATGATACAAATTGTGATGGAATGGTTTGATGAAGGCCGCACTCGGGGAGATAAGCATTTCCTTAGCCCCCAGCAGGAGTATGGAAAGGTTAAGAAGATGACACTGGCACCACCCTAAGGAATTCATGGTGTTTTGGCTGGCTGGCTGGCTGGCTGGCTGGCTGGCTGGTTGGCTGGCTGGCTGGCTTGGAAAATGTAGAGTCAGTCTGGAGAGATTCT